TATATATATATATATATATATATATATATGTATGTATATGTGTAACTATATATCCAAAAAAATATAGGGGCATTCTGGCAAGCAGTATGTTGAGAGATTAGCTCCATTTTAGGACAAACACTTTTCCCTGGCCCAGTCCTGTTCCTATTAGCTTTCATACCCAGTCATCAGGATACTCCCAAAGAGACTGTGTGCATTTTCTATTGACATTGACCAGAAAATCTATAATTATTAAATGGGTTAGTTGCGATGCCCCTTCAATCCAGCAATGCAAAAACTTACTGTTTTAGAAAGATTAAGATACTGTCTGAATGGGAAATTCTATGCTTTTAAAAAAAGATGGGAAGATACTCTCAAACACTTCCGAATTTCAAAATTTAGAGACCAGTAATGAGAATCTGAATGATGTATATGTTCAAGTTTATATATAAATTGGTTACTTTTCTGAAATGTTTGCTGTAATTTATGCACATACCTCTGGTTTTGTTTTCTGTATCAGTGATGTATATGTTTTATCCTGTTTCTTTTTTACCTTCCTTTTTCTTTCTTTGTATAAATGTTCAAAATGCATAATAAACATAATATAAAAAGCAAAAAAGTAAAAACCAGAATAAAATGTACCCTTAACTTTCCTCTCATTTATTATTCGGGTTTAAAATGCGACCTGTAAGAATGCAATAATTAATTCTGTTACTAAACAGCTTCCTAAAATCTGTTCACATGTAAAATAAAGATATGCTGACATGCTGAGGATTTAGAAAAATGTTATGCTGCCCCCTATCGGCCCATTGGGAGAAAAACAAGGCCTCAAACCAAACCCTCCAAAAAGTATCCTTTTTTAAACATATTAACTGTGATTAAAGATTAGAGTAAACTAATGGCTAATTATCATCTGTTTTTTTCACATCTTAAATATAATTTTTTCGGACTTTGGTTTGTAATTAATATTAAACCATGATTAGCTTTTCACTTCTCCTACCATGGATACCAATGAGAATTCCTATATTGAGCGGTCAGGCTAACAGATGAAAGAAATACTTGCCAACAAACAGCGGTGGAAAAAGTACTAAAATATCATACTCAAGTAAAAGTACCAATACTAGGATATAATATTACTCAAGTACAAGTAATAAGTAGCTAATTTTAAATGTATTTTAAGTAAAAGTTACTTAGTTATAATTTTTAAAAAAAACAGTTGAACGGGGCAGGGGATCTCTCCCATGTAGTGAAAATAGGACAAGCAGTCATAAATCCAAAACTATTTAGTTTTTAATTAAAGAAAAATCGATACAAATGTATACACATGTAATGACAAGATAACACGTGTCACACATGACATTTAAGACCCATTTAAGGCCGAGGATTTCCGTCGTTTTGGGCAGCAGAATTGGATGTTTCAGCTAGCATTTCTAGTGAAACGTTCTCTGAACCGTCGTCGCTCTCCTGACCCACCTCCATCTCGTTCCCAATCTCCGACAGAATGACTCGGCGCCTGGTAGCCTAGATCTACATGCTGATCACGTCACTCGCTGTAGCGCTCCCGGGGCCCGATTTTTTGTCTTCCTTTCGGTTTTACAACATTTTTTTTTACTCAGTAACGGATTTGTAATGTAACGAAATACAATACTTCACTCAAAACTTAATCAAGTAAAATTTTAATTACCGATTTTAAAAACTACTTGAAAAATACAAAATTTACAAAAAACCTACTCAATACAGTAACTTAAGTATTTCGTTACTTTCCACCTCTGCCAACAAAATGTTCTTTCTCAAAATTTTGGACTTTTTGATGCACAGTTTAAGTGTCAGAGGTTACTGTGGTTGGTGCAAAGTTTTATATGTCAGGAAGTACTAAACCAGTACTAAAACTGGTAGACCTTCTACGGCCCTGTCCAGCTCTCCTGGAGTAACTTTCTGTCTCCTGGAATCTCCTCCATGCTCTTGAGATTGTGCTGGGAGACGCAGCAAACCTTCTGGCATTGATGCGCCATCCTGGAGGAGTTGGACTGCCTGTGCAACCTCCAGGTAGCGCCTCATGCTAACAGTAGTGACAGTGATCCTAGCCAAATGCAAAACTGGTGAAAAAGAGTCTGAAAAGATGAGGAGGGGGAAAATGTCAGTGGCCTCCACCTGTAAAACCATTCCTGTTTTGATGGTCGTCTCGTTGTTGCCCCTCTAGTTCACCTGTTGTTCATTTCATTAACAAAGCAGCTGAAACTGACCAAATCAATATCCCACAAGTTTAATTAACTCGATGCTATACTCTGATTACAAAGTGTTCCTTTAATTCTTTTTTAAGTAGTGTACTTTTATAAATTCTAGGAACCACTAGTAAACCTGCAGATTGAGAGCGAAGTGCTCTGTTAGGAACATCAGGAACAATCAGATCTCTGATATCAGATGGAGCTTGGCCATTTAAGGCTTTATATGTGAGAAGGAGGATTTTAAATTCTGTTAAATTGCATAATGTTTCCAGCATCACCTGCAGGTCAGCCAAAGAATTAAATTAATCTT